CATGGAGTCAATTCCGACTCATAGTGACCCTATAGGACAGAGTAGAGCTGCTGTGTAGGGTTTCCAAGACTGGCTGCCACATCTTCCTCCTGCAGAACGGCTAGTGGGTTAGTAGCTGAGTGCTTAACCACTGCACCACCAGGGCTCCTCTGTAAAGACGACAGCCAGGAAAACCCTATGGAGCGCTCTACTCAGTAATTCACAAGGTTGCCATGAGTCAGGATCAAGCCAATGGCAATGGGCTTTTAATCATGTATGATTATGTATGTATGTATCTGTGGCCTTATGTGAAGCTGACAACATCTTTAAAGACTCTATTTCCAAGCAGGACCACATTTCCAGGTCCCGAGGTTAGGACTTCCACATAGCTTTGGGTGAGGACACAATTCAACCCGTGACATAGTGTGATGGACAAAGCAGCATGGTCTCTTGCTGTTCCATGGAACATTGCAGCCAGCCCCCTGCCCACTATGGTGGGGACATCCTCCTCTGGTTTCTTCCCAGAGGGTAGTCCAGCCCAGTCCTGGCTGGGAGATGGGACATGGGAACACAGGTGGGTGTCTTCTAGAGTGAGAGATGGGAGCAGCAAGCCTGGGGTGGGGAGGTAGCCCAGACATACAGGAGCTGGGGTTCAGGAGAAGGGAGTTCACCAGTTGAGATTGGAGAGGAATAAAGAATGTGTTTTAGGGAGGAAGAACAGAGGGACAAATTTCCCAGGAGTCGTTGTATATACAAAGCTAGGTACAGGGAGACTAGGGCTATAGATGCAGGATCCACATGGCCAGGATTCAAATCCCAGCTCTGACATGTATGAGCTGTGTGACTTTGGGCAAGTTGCTTAACCTCTCTGTGCTTCAGATATTTGTCCATCAGGCAGCATTGATAACAAAAGCATCTACCTCATGGGGTGGTTGTAAAATTTAAATATGGTAGTGTATGTAGAGCTGTGCCCAACATTTGTTAACGTGAAATTGAACCACACAACAAAATTGTCAATATTTGACCTAAATCCCATCTCCTGGATCTTCCTTCCTCCCTCCCCCCCCACCTCTTTATCTGTGTGTGTCTTTGCCTGCCTTCCTTTTCACTGCAGCACGATGATCTAGCCCACAGACACCTTGGTTTAAATCCCAACTCTACCTCTGACCTCCTTCAGCACTTCAGAAACTTGGCGTGGCCTCTCCCAGCCTCGGTCTGCTTACCTGAGATATGGAGATGACAGTAGCTTGGACTTCCCCAGGTTACGGGGAATCAGAAGGGACCAGGCCATGCGTGTAATGCAGTCATCCGGGGGCAAGCCCATAATTAGGACTCTGAGAATAGACGCAGTAGGTGGGCTGACTTTCAGAAGCAAGCTTTCTATCCTGTTCAAACTTCTCACTGCAGCCTCCGGGATCCTGCCTGCTCTGGCCTCTGCCCACCTGTCCACTTGGCCCCAACTAGCCAGGAGGACAGCTACAGGCTGAGTGTGTACAGGTTGTGTGTGTGTGTCTACGTGTTAATGTGTGTAAGTGTGCATGTGAATGTGTGTGCACATGGGTAGCTGTGTGTGGGACTGTGAGAGTCTGTGTGTGTGAATGTGTGCATGTATGTGGATGTGTGTGCATATGTGTGAATGGGTGTGCCTGTATGTGAATCTGTGCATGTATGTGAATGTGTGTGCATGTATGGCTGTTTATTTGTGTTTAACTTTTTTATTTCTTGTATGACTTTGTGTGTAAATGTGTGCACACATCTGTGTGTGAGTGTGTGTGTGAATGTATGTGCACATGTATGTCTATGTATGGGTGTGGGTGTCGGGGCTGGGAGTGGGAAGTGGACATCGAAGGCTTCTTGACAGACATGAGCATTCAATTGAGTCTGAGGGGGTGACCGGGGAGGGGGTGGCAGTCAGAGAAGGGAGGTGGGGGTGGGGCAGAGTCAGGTGGGTATGGGGACCTGGTCTGGGGAAGTGAAAGCCACCATCTAACGTGACAGCCCAGAGAGGCCAAGTTGGGCAGATGCCATGGGGGCTGACTGTGGCAAGCCCTGGGGAGCCATGGCAGGCTGTAGGGGAGGCAAGGCCCTAAGGTTTGGAAAGATGGCCTGGCTGTCCAGATTCTGCTGTGCTGGCATTTTGCCACTGGACACCCCACTAGGAGGCAGTGTCCTGAGGTGGTTGAGCAAGGCCTGAGGTCAAGGGCCAGGCTTCGAGTTCCAGCCCCTGTGTGACATGGACACATTATTTCAAATGGCAACACTGATTCCAGGTCATCAAATCAAATGGTCAAATGAGCAGTCACTGAGCCCCCTGGACCCCAGTGCTGCTCTGTGCTGGTAACTAGAGCCTGACGTCTGAACCTAACCTTCGTTCCAACCTAGATCCCAGCCAGATCCGTGCCCATCAAGTGGACAGCCCTGCCAGGTGGTGAGTGCCCCATCACCAAGACAGACCAGGAAAGGACACCATGGAGGAACCTACGTATGTAGGTGCGAGAATTCTCTGGGCCTGATATGGCAGGATAAGGACCCTGACCCCCTGCCTTCTGCCCAGAAGAGGGGGCTCACAGGCCCATCTCTGGGAAGAAGATTGGATTTCTAGGAAAGGCCCAGATGTGGGGGAGGGGAGGGGAGCCCCAACAGACTTTGCCAGAATGAGGTCAAGCAGGCGAGGGAAGCTGCAGGCCCCTCCCTGCTCTGACTCAACGCCCTCCTGACAAAAAACAGCCCAGCTGGGATGCTGGGAGCCCCACGGAGACTGAGACGGACAGCAGTGGACTGGGAGCTCAGTGAGAAGGACTCAGCTTGATGAATCCTCCAGGCCAGGGTGAGGGGAGGGGTGGGGGGCCACGGAGGGCAGGAAGACAGAGTCAGGGGGCAGGTATTGGGAGGAGGCCTGGAGGTATCTGACATTGGGGAAGGGGCTGGGGAGGGGTTCAGATCGGGCAGAACTCAGCACCAGTGTCCTGTGACTAGGGAAAGGATTTGGGGGAGGGAACAGGCACCAGGTAGAGCTTGGGGGCCCTGGTGTAGGGGTGAGGGCTGGGGAACCAGAAAAGGGAGTGGAAAGGAGGACCCAGCCATCTGGAGGTGACGCTGGGGACCCAGCTTTGGTGGGGATAACCAAACCCACAAAAGGAAGGAAGGTGCAGATGTTAAAGGTGAGGGCTGGGTAGGGGTCAGCCATCTAAAGAAAGGCCCCGTGAAGGGGAAGTCTCAGCCCCCGGTCCTTAACCTGTTCCTGTGGGCAGTGACCTGGACCCAAGTCAGGCTTGTTGACTGCCGGCATGTGTGCCAAATGAGGTGGGCAGACAGAGAGACAGAAGGGCAGACTCAGATGTGCGCAGATGCAGAGATGGACAGATAAAGGTCAGAGGGGAACATGGACAAGCAGTGGACAGTTAGACACAGAGTGAACAGGGCCACTGAGAGACAGCACTGTGCGAGGAAGGTGTGCAGAGGAATCTGAGGTCCACTGAGCCCCTCTGCTTCCATGGAAGCTCAGGATGGTCTCCCAGGACACTGGGGCTCTGGGTGATGGTGAGATGGGCAGAGCCAGAGCTGACCTTCACCTTGTACCTTTCCCTCACTATCCCACCCCCTGCAGGGTTCGAGGATCCCCCCAAGAAGCGATGCTGCAGGCAGAGGACACAGCTCATACTGTTGGGGCTGGTGACCGCCTCCCTGTGGGCTGTGCTGCTGACCTTGCTTCTCCTATGGCGTGAGGACACCCCCAGCCCTTTGGGTCCCCCCCACCAGCCCACTGGGGCCTCCTATGTGCTCTCCCAGAACCCCTTCTTAGAGTCAGGGAATCCAATACACCCCTTGGAGCCTAATTTCCTCATCGTGGGCCCGCACCTTGACCTTGCCAGACCCTTCTCACTTGTCCACCCACCCTCTAGGGCTCCAGCCCTGCTCAGTATCTCCCACCTTCTCAGCACATCTTAGGCTTTATACTCAAAGCCTCCATCCTCTGCTGGCAGGTGGGGCACGGGAAGGGACACCTGACAACCCTTCCCTCTCCCTTCCTTTCTTCTCTCCCTCCCCAGATTGGGACACTGCAAAGAACCTGAAACAGCTGGAAGGGACTGCCAACCAGAATGGTATGGAGGGGCTTCGGGTGGGGTCAGGACACCAGACTCTCACCCTATCCTGCTAGTGGCTCCTGGGCGAAGGGATACCCCTCTCTGGGCCTCAGTGTCCCAACTAGGAACTGAGGCTCAGCCTGTGTGGCCCCCTCCCTCGAAGGCTTGGAGAGGAGGGCTCTGAGAAGGCCCTGATGAGACATTAACATCTGTGGCTGTCACAAGAGTTACAGAACCTCTCTGTGCCTCAGTTTCCCCATCTGTAAAATGGGCATCATTTTAGTGCTATAAAGTGGAAATGAGCTAGGACTTGTGAAGCACTTAGAACAGCTCCTGGCTTCCAATAAGCTTTCAATAAATGCCCATAGGTTTTTATCTTTAATTTGCGGGGGGGGGGGGGGCAAGTCCACATGTTCATTCCCTCTTTGTCTGTACTTTCCTGGGTACTTTTCCCTAAAACAAAAACCAGTAGCCCATGCACTTGGGGCTGGGGTGGGGGGTCAAGGACCTGCCTTTATGGTCCCCAAAGACTCTTCTTCTGCTACCCCAGTGTCTCAAGTGTCCAAGGACTTGGAAAGACATAAGAGTGAACAGATGGCCCAGAAATCCGAGGGTGAGGAACCTCAGGTTGGGGTCTGGAATGGGGGTGGGGTGGAGACTCGGTGACTGTGGACACACAGTATTCTAAACCAACTGTGCCCTCACCACGGACTCCAACGTGAGCAGGTGGCCCTAAAGACCCAGGCTAAGAGGCCAAGGGGGCAGATGGGAGGGCTTATGGGGAGACACTAAGGACTTTCTTACCACTGAGCCCCCTCCCCTGCAACCAGCTGCCCAGCTGTTGAAGAAAATAGAGAAAATCCAAGCTGAGCAGAAGAGCATCAAGTCTCATGGTGAGACCTGGTTGGAGGCATGGGGTCAGACTTGGGGGTCCTGGAGCCATGGGACCAGGCTTGGGGCCTTTCTGGTCTTTGCACCATCCCTGACATCTGTCCTGTCCTCCCCACTCCAGAGTCTGAGCTCACCCGATACCTGGAGGGACTTGGAGCTGATCTGAGCAACCTCAAATCCCAGAGTGAGGCTTGGGAGGGGAAGGGGACAGGGAGTGAAAGGGGGGCTTGCAAGTGCATCTCTGAGCCCTGACACCCTCGCCCCACTCACCCAAGGCTTGAACGAGAGGCGCGCAGCCTCAGACTCACTGGAGAGACTCCAGGAAGAAGTGGCGAAGCTGTGGATCGAGCTAAAGATAGCAAATGGTGAGTGTATGTGTCTGTGCAATGGTGTGGTGGTAACGTGTAGGCATGCAAACGTGATGACACATGTGTGATGGGTATTGCAGCATGGCAATGCATCCAGGCGAGTTGGGTGTGAGGTGAACCCTCCCAGAGGCACTGGAGAAGGCCTGCTCCTTCTGTAGATTGTGGTGGTGGTGGTGGTTAGGTGCCAGTGCCTTGATTCTGACTCAGAGCAACCCCGTGTACAACTGAACGACACACCGCCTGGTCCTACCCTATCCTCACAACCATGTCTATGTTCAAGCCTATCGTTCCAGCACTGTGTCCATCCATCTCATTGAGGGCCTTCCTTTTTTTTGCTGACACTCGACCTTACCAATTACGATCTCCTTCTCCAGGAACTGGTCCATCCTGATAACATGTCCAAAGTACATGAGACGAAGTCTCACCATCCTTGCTTCTAAGGAGCATTCTGGCCATACCTCCTCCAAGATATTTGTCTGTTCTTCTGGCAGTCCATAGTATATCTAATACCCTTTGCAAACACCATAATTCAGAGGCATCCATTCTTTGGTCTTCTTACTCATCATCCAGTTTTTGCATGCATATGAGGCAACTGTAAAGATCATGGCTTGGTCTGAGTGTGATAGCATCCCTGGGTTTACATCTGTGTGTGTGGCAGGGCACAAGAGGAGCACACAAGAATGCCCTTTCTGATGCCAGCTGCTTCTGGCCACTGCTTTGGGAGGCTCTCACACCCCCTCCTGCAGGTAACTGCATTCCTGCATTTGCCATCACTGGGTCCTCTCTTTGATGCCCTCTCCTCTGTCCACTGTGGCTTAGTGGACGGGCATCAGTAGATTTGCTTAGCCACAGCCCTTCCAGGAGACTGTCCACCCCAGCCAGGGAACCAGAGGAGGTAACCTCTGCACTGATGAGGAAGATGAGGGTGGTGGCATCTTCCCAGGCACGACAATGATGGAGGTGAACTTGGAAGTTCTGAGGGTCAGCTGGGTGTTATCAGGAGAGGCTGTAGAAAGAGATGTTTAATCACTGCCCTAAACTGGAGCAGGAACCTGGCCTTTAGAGTTTTTCTGTGGCTTCTTGAGCTTCCTGCAGTCCTGCCCCCTTGGTTTTTGGTCTTCCTCCTCCGGGAAGCCCCAGCTTCCCCAAGTGTGCAAGAGAAGAGGAAGGATCTCCACTTGGTGTGAAGGAGTCTTGTCCCTCGGGACACGGTGTGGCTACGGGAATCCCAGTGAGAAACCCCGTTGTAGGTCCTCTGGGGTGGCTGTGGGGGCTGGATCATGGTGACCAACCCAGTCCTTGTTGTGATTGTTGTTGGGTGCCATGGAGTTGGTTCCCATTCACAGTGACCCCATGGAAACTGAACAAACACTGCCTGGTCCATCCTCACAATAGTGGCTATGTTTGGGTCCATTATGGCAACCACTGTGTCAACCCTTCTCGTTGAGGGTCTTCCTCTTTTTTGCTGACCTTCTGCTTTCCCATGCATAATGTACTTCTCCAGGGACTGGTCCCTCCTGAGAGCACGTCGAAAAGTCTCACCACCTTTGTTTCTAAGGAACATTCTGGCTTCACTTCTTCCGAGACAGATTTTTTGTTGTTCTTCTTCTGACAATCCATGATATATTCAACATTCTTCACCAACACCACAATTAAAATGCATGAAATCTGGCTCCATGGCTTAGGGTCTGAGTCTAGTTCTAGAGTTGTCTCTTGACTGTAGTTGTCAGCCTACCCAGGGATATTCTTTTCTTGTTGTAAAGCTGCACCCTCAGAGGATCACATATTGGTTACTGTTTGATATACAAGAAGCACCCAGTTCTGTTCTCCTGAGGGGCCCTCAAACTACTGTGGAGCCCAGGCCCCTTGGAATTTGACCAAAGCTATGGAGTCTCCCTATATGTCACTAGAAGAAAATCTTATTTTCAATCAAAAGAGTCAATCCAGTAATAATAGAAAGTGTTGGTAGTGATGGTTGTTGGGGTGCTGCTGGCCATGAGGTGTCTGTGCCAATGGTGTCAGTGGCAGAGGTGCTGCTGGCCATGGAGCTAGTGTCATGTGTCAACATCAGAATGCCAGGGAGCGCAGCCTGTGAGACCCTCTGTTGGGCCTCAGGTGGGTCTGCTTCCAGCCCAGCCCTAGGAGTGACTTCATAAGAGACATTTGTCACCCACTCTACCCCTTCTGTCCATGGTGCCCACCCCAGGGCCAACTCCAGCTACCCCAAAACTTCTCCTCCACCCCAGGCTCCGTGTGCAACACATGCCCCGAGAAGTGGATCAATTTCCAGAGGAAGTGCTACTACTTTGGTGAGGGTGCTCAGATGTGGATCCAGGCCAAGTATGCCTGCAATGACCTGCATGCACAGCTGGTCAGCATCCACAGCCCAGAGGAGCAGGTGAGCCTGGAGCTCTGTGGAGGGTGTAGTGTGGGGTTGGAGAGCATGGACCCTCAGTCCAACCTGCTGTACAGAGGATGGGAGGGAGGGACCCAAGCACATCCCCCAGTCCTCCAGCCTGGTCCTGCTTCCCAGGACTTCCTGAGCAGACATGCCAAGAAGGACTCCTGGACTGGCCTTCAGGACCTGGACGTGGAGGGAGAGTTTATCTGGTTGGATGGGAGCCCTGTGGACTACAGGTGAGAGGAGGCCTCTGGGGTCATGAGTAATCAGATGAGGAGGTGGGAACACCATGGAGGGAGGAGCTCTCTGAATGAGCCCTTGGGGATGGGAGTCAGAACTCAGAGAGGGTACCTCAAGGGTGCAAATGAAGGAGTGTGGCTATGGGAGGGGGCCCTGGATGGGGCTCAGAGAGGAGGTTCTCTGGCCAGCAGAGAGAGAGGGAGCTCCCAGTATAGACTTGAAGGGCAGTCTCCAGGTTCCAAGTGTAGGGTGGGAAAACTGGGTCAGGAAGCTCTGGGGAGGGGGAGACAGGAGGAGTTAGGAAAACAACCCAGGTCCAGACTCAAAGAGGGGGAGCTTCTCTGCCATACTGTTGGGTGCCATTGGGCCTATTCTGACTCACAGCGGCCCTATAGCACAGAGGAGAACTACCCTGTGGGGTTCTCTAGGTTGTAATCTTTTTCTCTTTTTTTCAACTTCTTACTCTGAATTGGGTGAAGGTTCACAGAAAGAGATCAGTTTTCCATTCAACAATTCACACACATTTTGTTTCATGCCATTGACTGTAAACCCCACAATGTAACACTGTTCATCCCATTTCTCCCAGTGTTTCCTACTTCCATTCCTCTTTCTTTCCTATCCCTTCCTGCCTTCTGAACTTTGTCCCTGGGCAAATGCAGTCCTATCAATCTCGAATGTTTGATTGTTCTAAGGAGCGTGTACTTCCCTGATGTTACTGTTCACCTCACAGTTCTGTCTGTTCTTTGGCTCAAAGATGAGCCACAGGGGTGAGTTCAGTTCCAGGCTTGAAGGATGCCTAAGGGCCATAGTCTTGGGGTTCCACCACTCTCCATCCGACCACAAAGCCAGGTCTTTTTTTAAGTTTTGTCCCACATCTTTCTTCCTTTCCAGGACCTACTAATGTGATCCCTTTCAGAGCGGTTGATAGTGGTAGCCGGGCACCATCTAGTTCTTCTGGTCTCAGAGTGAGACTGGGATTCACGTGGCCTGTTAGTCTTTTACACTCATTGTTTTCATGTGTCTTTGATTTTCCTCGCTCTTCTTTGCTCCAGACGGGGAGAGACCAAGAGTTGCACTTTAAATTGCCACTCACAAGCTTTTAAGACCCTAGTTCCTAGTCACCAAAGTAGGATGTAGAACATTTTCTTTGAAGATTATGTTGTGCCAATGGACCTTGATGTCTCGTGAGACTATGGTCTTAAGCCCGTTCCAAGGTGTTTGGTTGTGGCTAAGAGGTTTTCATAACTTTGCCCCTGTATTCTCTACCATATTCATGGATCTATTTGCAGCGTATGTAAATACACGGGTAGAAATATCCTGTCAAACCTATATATATTCATGGGTGTAGTACTCTTTGCCTTCCCACCCCTGTTCAGCTTGAATGCCTGTGTAGCTACATGTGTATTGTTGGTATTACTGTTACGGCAGGACTGTGTATGAAACAGTATTCACCTTTGTTCCTTTAACCCTTGTGCTTGTCCCAGTGTCTTCCTCTGCCTGGTTATTGCGCTGACCTCCCAACTGGATACTGCCTTTCCCTTCACCCAAGTTAACATGTATCTACCTTCTAATTACTCATTGACTCTCCCTTCCCCTCCTAACCCTGGAAACCATCAAAGTATGTTTCTTTCTGTGTGAAACCCTTGGTGGTGCTGTGGTTACAGCACTGGGCTGCTAACTGAAAGGTTGGTGGTTCAAACCCATGAGCTGTCCTGCAGGAGAAAGATACAGTCTGCCTCTGTAGAGATCTACAGCCTTGGAAACCCTATAGTGCAGTTCTACACTATCCTAGAGGGTTGCTATGGGTTGGGATCCACTCGATCAGTGGGTTTGGTTTTTGCTTTGGTTTAATAGTGGTCTCATACAATATTTAACGTTTTGTGATTGACTAATTTCACTCAGCGTAGTGTCCTCCGGGTTCATCCACGCTATCAGGTGTTTCACAGACTCAGTGTTGTTCAATATTGTGCAGTATTCCAGTGTGTGTATATACCATCGTTTGTTTAACCATTCATCTGTCTGTTGATGGGCACTAGGATTTTCCCATCTTTTTGTTATTGGAAATAGTGCTGCAATGAACATGGGTGTGCAAGTATCTTTTTGCATCACAGCTCCTTCCTCTAGGATATATACCTAGTATTATGATTGCTAGGAGCTCTGGTGGCATAGTGCCTAAGGCACTTGACTGCTGACCAGAAGGCTGGTGGTTCAAACCCACCAGCCACTGCTCAGAAGGAAGGTTGGGCAATCTACTTCTGTAGTGATACTGCCTCGGAAACCCAAGGAGGGGATGTGATATTACTATTTCCAGCTTTTTAAGGAAGTGCCATACCATTTTCCACAGTGGTCATACCTTTTCACAATCCCACCAGCAGAGTAGGAGGGTTATAGTCTGTACATACCCTCGCCAGCATTTGTTAGTTTTCTTGAACTTTATCATGAATGCTGGGGTGAGGTGTTGTCGTTTCGATTTGCATCTCTCTAACAGCTGATGATTATGAGCATTTCTTGATGTGTTTGCTGGCTGCCTGGATGTCTTCCTTGGTGAAGTGTCAGCTCATGTTCTCCTCTCATCTTTTAACTGGAATAGGCTGTAATCTTTACGGTGCAGATCGCCAGGTCTTCTCTCCTGCAGAGTGCTGGCTGGGTTTGAACCATCAACCTTTCAGTTAGCAGCTCAGTGCTTGGCCATTGTGCCACTGGAGCTTCCCTGCTCTGCCACGAGGGGAGGAAATCTGAGGACGAGGGCCCCAGGTCCGGACTTGAGGAAAACTTGTGCCCTACAGCTGAGGGGACGGTCAGGGTTTGGGCAGCAGGCCCAGGCTGAGCGGCGGGAGCAGAGGCTTTTCTGGGCTGCAGGGAGCTGGAGGTGGGGGGACACAGGAAAGGGGTCTGGAGGCCCTCCAGGCCCGACTCTGGCAGGGGTGTCTAAACAGCAGGGAATGAGACTGGGGGATGAGGATCTGCTTCCCTACCCACTCTCCTGACCTGGAGCCATTGTTACAGCAACTGGCGGCCAGGGGAGCCCAACAACCAGGACCCCGGCGAGAACTGCATGATGATGGTCGGCTCTTCTGGCCAGTGGAACGACGCCTTCTGCCGCAGCCAGCTGGAGGGCTGGGTGTGCCAGCAGCTGGCCACATGCTGACTGCCACCCTGCTTCAAGCAGCACTCAGACCTGCCCTAGGCATCACCCCTGAAGGCCCCTGCCTTCCCTAGCACACCTCCCTGCACCCCTCCCCTGCCTTGCCTCCTTCACACCTTCCTATAAGGACAGCCAGGCCCAGAGCAAGACGCTGAGGACCCCAACCAAGACCTGGACACCTCTACAGGGTGGCAGGAGGGGAGATATTTTCCCTCACCCAGCCTGGCACTAGGCAGCTGACCCGTCCCGTCAACACCTACTATGACTGAATTGTGTCCTCCCAAAATGTGTATTAAAGTCCCATCCATGTGGGTGGGGCCCTGTTTGCAAATGGGGGGTTCTTTTGTTGTTAATGAGGTGGTAACAGGGTGGGGTGGGTCCTAAACCCTCTCACTTCTGAGTTACATAAAAAAGGAGAGAGGCAGGGACACCACAGGGTAGAGACAGAAGCCATGCGAGGGCCTGTTAGCAAAGGGACGTCAGGGATCATGGGCAGACATCAGAAACGAGGAGAGAAGCCCCCAGGACTGACGTGGCCGAGGCCTGAGGCGGGCTTAGCCTCTAGCACTGCCCTGTAAAGCCACCCACTTGTGGGATTGCTGTTACGGCCGAACCAAAAACCAAACCAGTTGCCATTCTGCTGATTCTGACTCATGGTGACCCGTGTGCCACAGCAGAACTGTGTTCCACAGGGTCTTCAAGGACTGAGTTTTCAGAAGCAGATTGCCAGTACTTTCTTCCACCGTACCTCTGGGTGGACTCTGACCTCCAATCTTTCAGTTAGTAGCCATGCAGCACTACATAACTAAGATAATGTGCCTGATGGCCTGTCCCTCCAAATTCCCACCACGAGAGCCACTGCCGCCAAGCCTTAAGGCTAGAAGCCCCCTCCCCACCTGCACGCAGCTCCTGCCAGCCCAGCCTCTGGGAAGCCCTCCCTCTGACCTGTGTGTGCCCTCTATGACCCCTCCTTCTCTCCCCTATCCACAGGGAGACCCTCAGGGGGCACCACAGGGTAACTACCACAGGCTCAGGTTTCCCAGCCCCCCACCTCCAGCTGCATACATCAACTAAACGGGGCACAGCCCCTCACACTCACGCCGTCCTCAGAGGTCTCCAGCATGAACCGTGGGGCTGGGCATTCCAGAGCCCAGTGTCGAGGAGACAGCCTCTGTGGAGGGGGCAACTGAGGTGGAAGTCCCCCTAACTTTCCTACTTCATTACAAGCACCACCTACTAGTTGAGAGCCTGGAGATGTGTTCTGGGGTCCAATGAGCCTAGGGCACTGCAGATGCCCCAGGGATCTTGAGGGTGAGGGCGTGGACCCTCTAAGCTCACAGGGCTGCAGGGAAGGGGCTGAGTTGACACACAGGAAGAACAGAGCCCAGGTCCCAAGAGGCAAGTGCTAGCTGGCTAGAGAGGGAGGGGCAGCCAGGACAGGGCCTGGTCAGCAATAGAGGCTCTAGAAGGCTGAGGAGGCACCAGTCTCAAGTCTGGCCAAGGCCAGCCATGTCTCTGAGGCGGGGGAAGGAGGTCAGGACACCCCCATCAGCATCCCTCCACCCGCACTTGGCCATGGGGCCATGATTCTCAGGTCCACTCAGGAGGGAGACACCCACAGGGACCGCTCGGGGTCCCAGGGATCGAGGGCGGGGCCGAGGTGCTCCCTACACCCCGGGGAGCTGGGGAGAGGCCCGGAGCCTGGGCACCGCGATGCTGGGGAGGGGCTGGAACGGGGCAAGACAAAGCCAGGCTCTGGGTCAGACCTGGGCTGGAATCCACAGATGACATGTCGGATGCACCCTCCAGATCCTCACCTGTAACTTCAGGCCAGGGTGTAGCTGCCAGGCAGGGCCACTACTCCATCCCACCAGCTGCTCAGGCCAATGTCTGGGTCCGTCTTGTGGCGCCACTCTCCCACCTCCAAACCCCTAAGACCCTATGGGCGCTGCCAGCAAAAGGCACTCAGAACCCACCCACTTCTCGCCCATGCTGCCACCATGGGCATCACTCCCTGGACTGCTATGGCCGCCTCCTCCCACTTCACTCCACTGCTGCGGCCCTTCCAGAAGCTTCCTTCCCATTCAGAGAAACAGCCACTCCTACAAGGCCCTCTGTAATGGCAGCACGCCCCTCCCCCACACCTTCCTTCCCCAACTTCACCTCTGGCCTCCCTCCCCCTGCACCAGCCCCCTCACTGTGCCTGGAACCTCCAGGCTGGCTCCCACCTCAGGGCCGGCTCCTCTCAGCTGCTCAGAATACTAGGGGTGATGTCAGCTGTCCTCGCGTCAACCTGTCTCCATGCACAACACCTGGTCTTGCACCATCCTGGCGACTGGCTGTGGCTCGGACCACTGTGATCCACAGGGTTTCCATGGGCTGATTCTCAAAAGTTGATCACCAGGCCTTTCTTCCCAGCCTCAGTCTAGAAGCTCCTCTGAAACTTTTCAGTGTGCTAGCAACACACGAGCCTCGCCTGGCAGATGGTGGTTGCTGTGCGTGAGGCGCTCCAGCCCGGCATTGAACCCAGGTCTGCTGCATGGAAGGCGAGACTTCCACCACTTACTGACCACAGACCTCCACCAAGGTCTTTAGTGGACATCCTATTGCAGCCCAAAGCACCCTAAGACAGACCCACCACCAAGATCAAAACCTGCCTGACCACTGCCTCCTGTTCTCTGTCCCCACTTGCCCCAAACTGGGGCCCAGCTTCACAATTCTACAGCTGCCTTCAAACCTCCCTTCTCCACCAGCCCCCTGCCTGATCCTCAGCAAGGAGAAAGAGACCCCAGGCCCCCTCTCCTGGCCTACAAGCACCCTGCACCCCTCCCTTGGGACCAGCCCTTCGCCTCCCTCGCCCACGTCCCTCTGCCATCCACCGCTGCCAGGCCTCTGCACAGAGGTGCCCTCCTGCTCCTCCTCCTCCTCTTTCTCACTTCTGCAATCTGACCCCTGCCCCTGGCTGCCCTGCAAACCCCAGGACCTCGGGTGGCTACAGCCGAAGCCCACTCCGGCAGCTTCCCAGGAAAACCCGCGTCCCAGCCTCAGTGCCTCTGGCTCTCCCACCTTCTGCTGCCGCCAGGGGCTCCAGCTCCCCCCACAGCCACCTGCTCCAGGCCTGTGGCTTCATCTCTTTGCAGACCCCCAGACCTGCCTCTTGAACTCAAGCCCCAATCCTCAGACCTGTGCACCTCCCCCAGATTCAGGCTGTACCTCAACCCAGCTACCCCGGACCTCTCCCCTCTCCCAGCCCTGCCTCATTCCACAGCTATTTCCTGATGGCCTGCTGTCCTCTATGTGACAGGTACCCCATATTTTTCCTTGTCCTGATGACAACACCTTCCCAACACGCCAAAGCCCACGGCCGCTCAGCACTTCCTGACCGGAGCCGGTGTGCCATTGCACCCCGGTGTCCCTCTGGCCATGCCACCCCCATGACACAAGTGGATGGAGCCTCTTCAACAACAAATCCAAAAGTCACACCCACCCACCACTAAGCCCTTTGCGGGGGCAGTCAGGGGGCAGCTGAAAGCACCTGTGGTTCCTTCTCAAAACAGGGCCTGGAGGGAAACGGAGCAAGGAAGATTTGAGCAATCTTCCCCAAAAGAGCGACCAGAAGCTGAGAGAGGTGGGCAGAGGGTTGGGAAGACTGCCTGCTGGGTAACATGTGCACATGTGTCAGCTGCGTATTTCAAAATTAACTTAAAGAGACTTCAAGCTTCTCCAGCTGAACCTCTTGGAGAACCAGCTCACAAGAGCAGAGGTTTTCCAAGTGCAGTCTCAGGCCCTTCAGCAGCTCCTGGGGAACTAGTTGGAAACGCCAATTCACAGGTCACCTGGGCCCTGGAGAACCTCAATGGCTGGGGTGGGGCCCAGCCACGTCCATTTTGAGGAACACTCCTGGCCAAAGACTTCAGTTTGGGAGCCACAGCCTCACAGCACTGCTTCTCAACTAAGGTCCCCAGGAGGCACCTGAAGAGCTTGCTGAAATGCACCCGGCCTGGGCAGTCAGGGTGAGGCCTGAGTGTCTGCGACACAGACAAGCTCCAGGGTGATGCTGAGGCTGCTGGTCCACGGACCACACCTTGAGTAGCAACAGTGTACTGAGGCTGCTTTCAGTGGAGCAGTGGGATAGAGCGCACAAAGCATAACCATTTACCATCTGGGAACGCCTGGGTGCTGCAAACGCTGAATGCTCAGCTACTAACCACAAGGTCGGAGGTTTGAGTCCAGCTACAGGAGCCTTGGAAGAAAGGCCCAGTTATACTCTGACACACAAGGGATCGCTGTGAGTCAGAGTTGACTCCACAGTCACTGGTTTTTATTTTTTAAAAAATCCGATCCTTTACAGAAAAATTTTCAGACCCTTGGTCTACAGGAAGGAGCTCTGGTGGTGCAGTGCTTAAAGTGTTTATCTGCTAACCAAAAGGTTGGTGGTTCAAACCCACCAGCCACTACAAAGGAAAAAGATGAGGCAGTCTGCTTCCCTACAAGATTTACAGCTTTGGAAACCCTGTGGGGGAAGTTTGTCCTATAAGGTTGCTGAGTCGGATCAACTTAAGGACACTGGGTTTGGCTTTGGTCTACAGAAGTCTGTCTGTCTCCTGGGATTCCTGCACCACCCCCACATCCCCAGCCTGCAGGCAGCTTCCAACTGTTCCAATTCCAGAACATGCCAGCATCCCCCCGCCCGCCAAGCAGCAGAAATTCACTCCACAGCCTCCTGTCCACCAACCCCCAACCCTATCTAAAAACCCAAGCTGGAACAGGCGTGCCCCTCCCCACTGCATTATAAACATATTTGAGCCCAGGCATCCCTCAAGAGCCTGGGGTCCGCACATGGGTCAAAATGCTCTAAGTGACCTCTGAGGCCCCCACACAAGACACACAACACACTAAAGAAGGGGGCTCTGCATCCTTTATCTCCCATAGAGTCAGCGGCCCTCCAGGGCCCGGTCGCGGGCGATGACTGCCTCCTCGAACTTGATCATGAGCGTAGTGCCCTTGTGCCAGTGCGCCGTGACCTTGGCGGGAAAGCCGCTGTGCGTAAGCACCGCCTCCACGATGCCCGCTGTGAAGCTGGCGCAGTTGAGCGTGCTGTTCTCCTTGGGCACCGAGATGTAGGTGTTGATGAGCGGCTCACGCTCGATGATGTAGAAGGTGCGCGCGTCATCATTGGCCTGCTCCAGCTTGTCTGCCTCCTTGCCGAAGAGCGCCTTCCACACGGCGCCCTTAACGAAGAGCAGCGCGCCTAGCACCTTGGTCTCGCGCCGGGCACCCTTCTCGCGTGCCACCAGCGCATCCAGCACGCGTGCACCCACCTGGCGACCCAGCGCAGCCAAGCGTGCCTGCAGCTCGGCCACAGAGAAGACGCGGCTCTGGCAGTGCTGCACCAGCTCAGAGAAGAGCAGTGCAAAGGCGCTCAAGCTCACTTCCGTGCGCGGCCGCGCCAGCGCGCGCTCCAGCAGCGCCGACTTCCCGCGCGTGAAGCGCGCCTCCATGCCGCCGCCCTGCGGAGACACGAGGAATTGAGGGTGTCAGGGGCCATGAATAGGGGCCCCTGGTGGGGAGGACAGGCGGGGGAGCCTGGAGGGAGCGTGCATGCACGTGCACACGCGCTCACGCACACACACTGTCACGGGCTACAACTCTGCCTTCCCACCAGAGAAAAGATGGAGAGGGAAGGAAAGGAGGCACCCAACCTGCTCAAGAAAGCGGCTCCGGCAGCGTAGTGCCTAAGGCATCTGACTGCTAACCAGAAGGCTGGTGGTTCAATCCCACCAGCCACCGCTGAAGACTGGGCAATCTACTTCTGTAAGGATTTACCGTCTCGGAAACCCAAAGGGGGTCTTTATGAGTCTTAATCAACTAAATGGCAGCGAGTTTGGGTTTTTTTTGTAACCTGCTCATGAAGGACGTTTCCACTAGGGGACAAGGTGGGCTCCTATCCTTGGCAGGAGAAGGCTTAGGTGTGGGGAGGTGGGAGAAACAGAGGGCGGCCTGAAGGGGGCAGTGGAAACCACCCAATTCCCGTGCCCCAGATGATTTCCTGGCGGGCCTTCAAGACCCCTCAGCCGCCAGTGGGAGTAACTGAAGAACTGTTTTGGGGGTGGAACTCCAAACCAAGACAAGAGGGGACAAGGACAGAAGACCATGAGGGATACAAGCAAGCTGGATAAACTGGAAAACGGGGTAGGAAGGAGTCAAGACCGACAGCAAGAGGGCTGGGGGCCACATGGCGCAAACCTCTCAACCTTGCGCCCTCGGGCTTTGTCAAGCACGAGGCGTCCTCCTCTGCTACTTGGATGGACCTGGGTTCGAAGAAAGACTAGCAGAAGAGCACCTCAGCCCCATGATCTCCAGAAAGGACCGTGAGAAACGGAGGGGGCAGATAGTCAGCCTCAGGGTTTCCCGAAGCCTGGAGGAGGCACACCCACCCAGCACAAGAAGCCATAGCTGTCGGTGGGGACAGAGGAAGTGGGTTTAGGAGATGGTAGCAAAGACCTCCCCGTACTGGGGCTCTGCGAAGGGGTAGCAGAAGCCCCAGGGGCGCTGAGACACAACACCCCTTCCCGCTCACTCGGGGGCTTGAAGGCGCCCTCAAGGGTGGGGTCTGGAGAGGGAGCTGAGAGTTGCGCCTTCCTGATTCCCGGACGACGTCAGACGCCTGAGAGGTCTGGGGATGCTGAGATCCCCCCGAGGGCTGCGTGTCGGGGAAACCAGGGAACCAGGGGAGTCACCAGGCTCCTGGACGCCCCCGCCCCGGCGTGCAGCGCTTTCGCAGGAGGACCCACAGAGCGAGAGATGAGATGTTGGAAACCCCTCACTGGGACACGATGGGGGTGCGTGAGCTGAGCCGCAGAAGGGCCGGGTCCCCGAGGGTCCCGTAAGCACCTAGATCTCCGCTCTGGCTTGGACCGGGTAGAGGGGCCGGGAGGAGCTCACCGCCCTCGCGGCCCCTCGGGATGGGCCGAACCGGATGGAGTGGGTTTCGCTATGCCAAAACCCTGCCAAAGGACCCATAGGCCCGTTGCGGGGGCGGGGGGTAGGGGGTCACGGCGCGGAAGAAGCCCGACGCGGACTCACCGGGAAAAGCGACCGTCGGCTCAGCCGAGCTGCTTTACGGCACTGTAAAAGGCCCTGCGCGCGCAGGCGCGGCGGTGAGATGGGCGTGTATGCGGTGCGCGCGGTGATTCTAGGAGGGGCAGCCAGAGGGCGCACGTGTCCGTGTTCGACCCAGAGTCTCGCGGGCTTTGGTTGACCCATGCTCAGGGGAAGAGCAGCACGCATGATCACCTGCTCAGGAGCAGCGCACATATGTCCCTGAACATACACCCTCTTGTCTCAGGGACACACGTGTGACCATGGGCACACGCTCTCTTATGTGTCCCAAGAGACATATATGCCCTTGGACACACAGTCCATAAGCTGTGGGTATAGTACACTCAGGGACACATACTCTCATGGATACATGCTCAACCAAACACACCCACTGCCATGGAGTCAATTAGACTCATAGCGACCCGTTAGGACAGAGGAGAACTGCCCCATAGGGTTTTCAATGCTGTAAATCTTTACAGAAGCAGACTGACCCATCTTTTTCAGTGGAATGAGCCGGGAGGGGGGTGTCTAAGCACCCCTGGGATCCTCCAGTCTTCTGCAATCTCCTCCACAGAGGCCCAATATGGAGGGCTTTCTTACCACCCCCTAATCTCTCTCCCTCTATCCCCTCTGATAGCTCTGGCTTCTTGTAGTGGGGTGGGCTGCACCTCCTCCATACTGCCCCATCTTTCTCAGTGGAGCAGCTGGTGGGTTCGAACTACAGATCTTTTGGTTGGCAGCAACTGCCTTAACCACTACACCACCAGAGCTCCATATATATATGTGTGTATATGCATGTATGTATGTATGTATCCATCTCCACTGGCCCATGTACACGTAGGGTGACATTGTACATATTGGGCTGCACATGTGCTCATGAACACATGCTCTGAGGCATATATGCACGTAAGGGCACTCACTCAAGGACACACATGTACTTGAGAGAATATGCCTGGGTCAGGGACTCAATTCCACCCTGGGTATATGTCTGTGAACAAGGTCAAGGACGCATTCATACATGAGGACCCTCACAAGGCATTTATTCCCACTTGCTCTGTGCCTTAGGGTCTCGGCCCTCGGCTCCATCTCTACATACTTACTGCGGTTTGCCCCATCCCCCAAGTCTGAGCACTTGCAGACTCTCCTCCACCAGGCCCCAAATCCCCACAGACGCCCCAAGAACAGATCTGGAAGCCATGTTTCCCCTTGACTTATATCTTCATGAATCACAAAACAGGAGTGATAATCATATGGACATGTGCTCCAAACACAAGATAGTATCATCAGGTACATTCACATTGGCACACCTGTTGACATGGGCACAGGTATGACAGGGCACATACCTTAGCACCCATGGTCACGATGGTAGAGTCTCATGGCATATAACAAACAGAAACACACATCATGACATGCTTACACAGGCAACATACCACAACACACTCTTACATGTTACACTGACTGCGAAATAGGCCCACGTGACACATATTGCCAACACCCACATTCACAGTGACACGTTTTTGAGATACTTACTAACACAACCAACCACCATGGTGTGCTTCCAGTCATAACACATCATGACACACATGTGAATCACATGTACAGGGAAAAGGGTGTGCACAACACATTTGTGGTGACATCCACATTCACTGTGATGCATTCTTGTGGAGCACACCAGCACACACACCCTCCAGGAAATGCTTACACACACAAAACCTCAAGGCACACATTCACCAGGACACATGCACACATCACCAGGACATGGGCACACGTCAACCAGGACACAGGCACACATCAACCAGGACATGGGTACACATCACCAGGACATGTGTACACATCACCAGGACAAGTGCACACATTCACCAGGACACGGGCACACATCACCAGGACATGGGTACACATCACCAGGACACGGGCACACATCACCAGGACACGTTTTTCTATGTCAGGAGTAGGGGCAGGTTCGGATCAAGTTGAGTCCCCCTTTCCTATCTTCTTTGGGAGGTGCAGTCCTTTCTCCAAGCTGTAGGGTGTGACTGTGATTCCTTACATTATTAAGATGTAGGCTCTGCAGAGGTGGCATGTGAAAGATACAGAGGGTCAGGCAGAACCCCAACCCTGAAGAGACAGTGGGGCCAAGTCCAAGGTTCCACCCCATCCACTTCCTCTGACCCAAACTCACTTTGTTGCAGCAGCTTGTCCAGCTTCATCACAATATGGTTCGTTTTCTTCCCCAGTTCCACTAAAATGTTACTCTTGGCATTGTTCATGGCTGGGGGCAGGGAGGGCAGGAGGAAGCTAGGGAAGGACCTCAGACAAGACCCCCACCTTCTTTGGAAGACCCTTCCTGCCCGACCCCTAGCCGGCGATGCTGCAGACCCCACATCCTTGGAGTTCCCAGCAGAATTTAAATAAATACCCCTGAGTTTGGGTAGGGTGGGTCCCCAGCACCCAGCCCCAGGACCAGCATTGATACAAACTTGCCAAATGAAGACAAGGTCTTCAAGGGCACCTGTTTACAGTGTATCCAACTTATCGTTACCATTCTGGATAGTGGTGTTGACATTGCTGATGGCCGCCTTGTTCTGATCAACTGCCCACTGGATGTGGGTCTGGCCCTTGTTCTGCGCTTCCTGCCCCTCGCGCACAGAGTTTGAGACTGAAGGCATGGAACAGGGGTGCCCAGGTCACCACCACTCTCCCAGGAGGCCCTGACCCCTACCACGACCTCTCAACCCCCTCCAGGCACCCCACTCACCGTTCCATAGCTCCCTTTTCAAGACCAGCAACTCTTGGGACATCTCAGCATCTGTCAGGAGGGGGCAAGGGAAGCCATGAAGTCCCAGTTCTGCCCTCCTGGGAGCAGAGTTGGGGGAGGGAGGGGAGAGGGAGAGGAAACCCAGGTAGAAACACTGGGCCTCCCTGGCTCCTGAGGACCCTTCCCAGCTGCCCCAGGCCTCTGCACCAACCACCCTTAAAAAAAAAAAAAAAAAAAAAGCAACTCACTCTTTACCAGGACCACAGCGGAGAGGATGATGAAGAAGATGAAGGTCAAGGCCAGGAGAATGTACAGGCTCATGATGGCTCTGTACAGCCACTGGGGGGTCTGGGCAGGTCCTGAGGGTGGCCTGGACTTGGCTGGGACTAAGACAGAGAGGCAGGCCTGGTGACCTCCAGGGCTTCAGATGAGCACCACTCACACCATCAATACTGACTCTACCCCATCAACAGATCTGTCACCTCCACTCCTTCTTCCCAACACCATCCAAAGCTGTCACCAGGAATAACACTGCCACCAACATGCACCCTCACCATCACCACCAGTAATTGTCTCTCCTAATACGATCACCTGGGCAAAGCGCCGAAGGCACTTGACTGCTAACCAGAAGGCTGGCGGTTCAAACCCACCCGCCACTCCTCGGAAGAAAAGTGGGGCAATCCACTTCTGTAGTGATACCACCTCAGAAACCCAAGGAGGGGTCGCTATGACTCAGGTCCGACTCGACGGCACATAACAACGACAACAACAGACACAGTCACCATCACAGCCCTCTTAACATCTGTTATGGATTAATTCGTGTCCCCATGAAGATATGTGTGGGAATCCTAACCTCCCTGTAGATGTACAGGTAATCACCTCCCATATTGCAATCTTATATAATGTGATCACCTCCTATAATGTAATCTTATGTAATCACCTTCCATAATGTAACATAAGCAAGCTATAGGATGGATCCTAGATCTAATCACATTTGACTTGTAAAAAGAGAAGAATAAACACAGACACATGAATGCACACACAGGGCATAACACATGAGGTCAAGACTGTATATAGAGGAATGCCAAAGATGGCCCTAGACACCACAACTAGGAGGGAGGTTCACAGAAGGCATCCACACGGCTGTCTTGCTATCTAGTCCTGGTGTAGCTGATATTCCACGAGTGGCTTTGTCACACAGAAAATTATTCCCTCACAGTTTAGGAGGCTGGAACACTGACTCCAGGGCAGACTTTCACTCTGTGTGTCTCTTGGTCCCAGGAGGATCCCAGCGCAGGTGCCCTGGGAGCGAAGGATGTGCTGTGCTCCCAGATCTTTCCTGGTGGTAGTAGGTTCCCCCGTCTCTGCTCATTCCTGTCTCCTTTTATCTCTTGTAAGATAAAAGGTGTTTCAGGCCACACCCCAGAGATGCTCCCCTTCCAGGGCTGTGATGGGCCTGAGGGGTTGCATCCCACCCTTAATCCTCTTACATCTGATCAGTTTGTCACATGAGATCACACCACGGGAGATCATTACATATCTGCCACATGACATCATTACCTAACTGCTAAACCACTACATTGCCCAGCCAAATTGACACAAACTTGGGGGAGGGGGCCCAATTCAATCTGTGACAATGGCTAAGCGTCTGATTTGGACTTTTAGCTCCCAGAACTGTGAGAAAATAAAGCTGTTCCTTAAAGCCACCCACTTGTGGTATTTGTGTCACAGCAGCGCCAGGGAACTAAGGCACCACCCTCAACAATGCTCTCCCAGCACTCCCCCACATTAGCAGTGGCTGCCACCAGCACTACACCACCAACAGCCCTCACACTAACAGCGTCAGCAACACTCAGCAACGGGAGTGCCCAAGGATTCCAGGAGGGTCACGGTAAATGGGCTGCTCTGGCACCGTCAGCAGCAGCATCAACATCTGTTCCTTCTTGATCAACCACAATGCACCTACGTTCACTCTCCCCAACACCATCACCCAAACCTTCACCCATACCGTCACCAACACTTCCACCAACATACCAACAGCACCATCACCATCGTACACCTCATCACCACCACCACTTGCAAAGCTCTCCCCACCTTGTTACCATCACAATCATGGATGCCACCACACTCACACTGTTGACCCCAACCTCCACTTGCAGCCCCTTTCCCATGCACAGCCCCTCCTATGGGCCCCTTCCCAAGGTTGTGGAACATGGGCAAGCAGGCGTCTGCTCACCCTGACTCTTGGGTGGTGAATGGTTACCATTTGGCCGGCCCTGGTTTCTGAAGGTCAAGCTGATATTCTCATAGTCAGGGTCACTGGCGTCTGTAGGGTGGGTTGGTAGAAGGGGTTGTGAGAACCTGCCCAGAGCTTTGTGGGGAGGGGTTCAGAGATCTTGGCTCACTGAACTCCTGCACACAATGAAAGTCTGGGGGTAAAAGATAAGACCGGAGGAGAACAAATGTGCTTCTCAGTTAAGCACACACACACACACATCTTGGGCATGGGACGAAGCCAGTCTCTGGACTCCCCTTCATCTCCTCCCCCCTCACATATGAACCCTTCTTTCTCAACCTCTCTCCTCCCCACCCCAAGGATCTGCACCTTTGTTTTGCGCTAGGCACCCTGGTTTCTTGTCTTTGAAGGCTGCTGCCTGCATCTTCACCTCCTGGTTCATGTAGATTTCTTCAGCCTCCATGAGCCTTGGTCTGCCAAGACATCCCCACCCACCGGAAGGTGTCAGGGAAGATGAGGAAATCCTGGGGTGGGGGGAAGAAAGAGGGCTTGGCCTCCTCTCCCCAGGGCTGCATGACACCCCTCACCTTGGGGTACTGTCACCCCCTCCGTGTCAAGAGGTCTCAGGGGACTAGAGGGGTTGGGCCAAGGAGAGAAGCTCCCAGACTCACAGATGGACAAGAAGTTAACAGGAAGCTCTGTTTAAATGTGTGTCTGTCTGTCTGTCTACTGGGTGGACCTTGTCCTGCCATTTCCTTTCAGTCCCAGGAGAGGAATTGTGGTAACTTGGAGTCTCACGATTTAGATTAAAGGCAGAATTAGAATAAAGGTAGAATTTCTAAGTACCCCAGACTTCTTCCTCTCCCCAACCCCATACCTCAGCTCCACCCCCTAGAAATTCTACTTCTCCAAGGCTTCTGCAAAGGAAGGGACGGAAGTGAGGCAAAGGGCCCAACCACTGGACTCCACACCCATCTGGGCTTCAGGCCAAATCCATTCCCATCCCCAGCTTTGTAGGCCCTGGAGGAACCTACATGTTCCTCCCACCCTGGGAACCACAGGCTAAGAAACTCTCAAATTACACACACACTGTCATCCATGCGTGTGCACACAAACGGTGTCTTAATTTCCTAGTAATACCATAACACAAATACCACAAACAGGTGGGGGTTTTATTTTAGTTTTTTTTATTGTGATTTGGCTGAAAGTTCACTGAGCAAATTCATTTTCCATACAGCAGTTTATACACATTTTGTTTCATAACATTGATTGAAATCCCCGTAATGTAACAGCTCTCTGCCCACTTCCTCCCTGTGGTTACCTTTTCCCCGTGTCCTCCTTTCCTATGCATGCCTACCCTTTGAGCTGTCTCCCTGTGCAAACATTGCCCTCCTGATCTCCCATGGTTGACTGTTCTAAGGTGTGTATATGCCTGGTATAAATGTTCAATTTATATGCCTGTCTATCATTTGGCTGGAAGCCACAGGAGTGAGTTCAATTCCAGGCCTGAAGAGTGACTAAGGGTCATAGTCTCAGGGGTTTCACCAGTCTCTATCGGAACAGTAACCTGTTTGGGGTTTTTGTTGTTGTTGTTGTTGTTTTTTAATGATTTTGAGTTTTGTTCTACATTTTTCTCCCACTCTGTCCAGGATCTCCTGCATTGATCCCTTTCTGAGTGGTTGACAGTGGTAGTTGGGCACCATCTAGTTCTTCTGGTCTCATGGTCACGTAGGCTGAGGTTCCCATCGTTCACTAGTCCCTTGGGCTGTTTCCATGTGTCCTTGGTTTTCTTCATTCTTCTTTGCTCCAGAGGAGGAGAGACCAATTATTGCATCTAGATGGCCACTTACAAGCTTTTAAGACCCCAGGTGCTGTTCACCAAAGTAGGGTATAGAAAGGAGCTGTGGTGGCATAGTGCCTAAGGCATGGGACTACTAACTAGAAGGCTGGCAGTTCAAACCCACAAGTCACTCCTCGGAAGGAAGATTGGGTAATATAAGTCCATAGAGACACCACCTCAGAAACCCAAGGAGGGGTCACTATGAGTCAGATTTGACTGAATGGCCATGTTTTTGTATAGTGCATTATGCCAGTTGAGCTTGATGTCCCCTGTGACCGTGGTCCCACAAGCAGGTGGTTTTAAAGAACAGAAATTTATTTTCTCCCAGTTCTGGAAGCTAAATCAAGTCCAAATCAATAACCCCGGGCATTCCATGTTCCTTGACTTGTAATGAGGCTCACATGGCATCTCTCTGCCCCTGTATGCTGTGTGTATGTATGTGTACATGTGTATGTGTGTGTATCTGTGTGCACCCATGTACGTGCACATATACATGTGCACATACATGTTTGTGTGGGGGTTATGTGTATGTGTGTGCATTGTACATATGTGTTGCATGCACTGAAGCAAACTGTCTACCCTAAGCATGTGTGTTGTGTGCATGCGTGTGCACATGCATATGCATGTATGCATTGTAGGTATGGTTGTGAGTGCATGTGCATAGGTATTGTGTGCACGTGTATATGTGCATGTGTGCATGTGTTTGTGTGCACTCACATCTGTGTATATGTGTTCATGCACATGCATGTGTGTGCATCGTGTGCATCGTGTGCATGTGTGTGTGCATGCATGCATGTGTGGCTATACTTGTAATGCATGCACATAGGTATGTGTGTGCATGTGTATATGTGAGTTCTGCAAAAATGTCAGTTTATAGTTTGCAGGCAGAAACTCCTTTTTCAATTGATGGATTATGTAACATGAGATTTGCACTATGGAAAGTGATTACATTGTATTGCATTGCATTGCACTGCACTACATTCCATTCCATTCCATCTGGGAGATAATCTGCTCTCCCCAAGGCCAACGGATTAATCTAAGTCACATCATGTAGCTACTCCATGAGAGCAATGACTAGTATTTGGCCAGACCACTGGGAACCACTGCCTTGTCAAGTTGACACATAAGATTAATCCATCACACCCAGATGCACACACACTCCCCCACTTGTACACACACACTTCTGAACACTCTCGTCACCCATATGCTCACAGATACACATCACACCCTCATGTGTGTGCTTCTGCACATGCCCACACAGAGAGATATACACATTCCTGCATTCAGATGCTTGACCCTGCCTAGAAGATGATTTCAAGTTCGTTTTGTGTTTATCAAAGGTGCTCTGGTGGTGGAGTGGTTAAGGCATTCAGCTTCTAACCAAAAAGCTGGCAGTTTGAATCCACCAGCCGCTCTGCAGGAGAAAGATGAGGCAGTCTGTTTCCATAAAGATGTACAGCCTCGGAAACTCTATGGGGCAGTTCTACTCTGTCCTAGCAGGTTGCTGTGAGTTGGAATCAACTAGAAGGCAGTGGGTTTAGTTTTTGGTTTGGTTTGTGTCTATCTGAGCTTGAAAGCTGGGGATCAGAAAGGAACAAAGTATAGAGGGAATTGCCTCCAGCATTAAGAGCACTGCCTTGCAATAGAAATAAAGCAGGAGCCACATATGTCGTTCAGAATTTTCTAGTAGCCACCTTAAGAAAGGCAGAGCCCTGAAACTATTACCCTGAGATATTTTTAAAAGAAAAAAAAAAACCTCACTGCCATTGAGTCGAGTCCAACTCATAGCAACCCCTGCCTGCTTGGGTTTCCGAGGCGGTATTTCTATGGAAGTAGATTGCCCAACCTTCCTTCCGAGGAGTGGCTGGTGGGTTTGAACCGCCAGCCTTCTGGTTAGCAATCAAGTGCCTTAGGCGCTACACTACCAGAGCTACTCTTTAGACCAAAGGTATTCCCTCAAGTCTTCTTGAAACCAAACAATAGTTTAGCTTAACCAGTAAAAAATGTCTACCCTGAGCATGATGCTCTTTGAAGAGCTATGGAATCAAAGTGACCCCAGCAACTTGAAAGGTTGGACAGGAAGCTTGGGGGACAGTGAGTGTGTTCATGGGGGAGGAAGAATTTGGAGAAAGAGGGTGAAAATGGTGGCACAACTCAAAGAATGGAATCAATGTTACTGAATGGTACATGCAGAAACAGTGGAATTGCTATGTATATTCTCAACAACGACAAAATAAAAAAAAAAGAGAGAGAGAAAGAGAGAGAGAGGGGAACCTTCAAGGCACTGAGCGTACAACTCCTCAAGCATAGAGTTCCTTCAGCACAGGGAGTCAGAGTCCTGGGTGGAATCATCTCTCAGCTCAGTGACACCTGTTGACACTGACAAGCCAATAAAGCTGAGGTCCCCCCTGAGCAGAGGAGTTAGGGATGCTTGTGACTGCTGACAATGTTGCTGCATGAAGCGGGAGACTGAGAATCACATTAAATGTACACACATGACTTCTGAGCCTTCCTCACATGCTCTGCCTCCTGGATAAACAATTTGCATCAATGCACTGAAGAAAAAAAAAATTGTGAAAATGATTAGTTTCTTCTGGGTTGAGGTCCTTAAGGTCACAGTCCCTGAGATTAAAGTCTGAGAAAGACTTATAAACAAAGCTGAGGGGACTGCACACTGCTCTGAGCATAAGACGTAGCAAGACCCACCTTGTCCCACACATTTTGGACTATGAGTGGTCCTAGCTGGACAGACATGGTGTCCTGGTCCTTTCTTCCTCCTCCGGCTGTTCCTGTCCTGCAACATAAAAGACCCCATACAGTGATGTTCAAACACACTCCCCTAGTAAAACCAAAAACAACCAAACTCACTGCCCTCGAGTCAGATCTGACCCATAGTGACCCCTCCTTGGGTTTCCGAAGTGGTGTCACCACGGAAGTAGATTGCTCAACTTTCCTTCCGAGCAGTTGCTGGTGGGTTTGAACCACAAGCCTTCTGGTTAGCAGTCAAATGCCTTAGATACTGTACCACCACAGCTCCTGACCTTAAAAAAAAAAAAAAAACCTCACTGCCATCGAGTTGATTCCAACTCATAGCCACCCCCTTTGGGTTTCTGAGGTGGCAAATATTTACACAAGTACATGCCCAGTCTTCCTTCCATGGAGTGGCTGGTGCACCTGGAATTTACAGTGCTCTTTGTTGTTGTTGTTGTTGTTGTTGTTGTTGTTGTTTGGGGGGGTTGATTTTGTAGAGTGCTGTTGGGCAATCTACTTGTGTAGTGATACCACCTCGGAAACCCAAGGAGGGGTCACTATGAGTCAGATCTGAGTCAACGTCCATGAGTTTGGTTTGTGGTAGTGAAGGTTATGTGTCAACTTGGCTGGGCCGTGGTTTTGAGTGGCTGGGAAGTTAGGTGTAGTTATTCCCCATGATGAGACTGGTAATCAGCTCTATGGTGGAATCTGCTTTCAGTAGCCAAGTAGCTGCTTCAGGGTGTGGCCTGCTTCCAGTACTCAAGGGGAAGCCTTGAGAAAGCCACAGGCTTCTTGGCACATCTGGATCCTCCATTTGGCTGAGTCTTCAGTGGCCTGCCATGTTGTCTGTGGGTCTTGGGACTGTTTCTGGA